AGCACGAAAATGAATTTTTTGATATGAGCTCCGTACCTCAGGAGTCTTACTATGTGTAGTGTGCCTCAAAACAATGGGCACCTATTCACTGCAGTGTATTTTGAACTCCTAAGCGAATGACAATGAATCTACAAATGTCTGCTATCCGCAACAATAAGCTACACCACATTTCAAAATATCCGTCACGTGCACGGATACTGGCCCGAAGTCGGTTTTCCACATTGTCCTATGTTGCACGCAGATATCCCTCTTCCATTTCCTCTCAGCCGTTCTTGAATTTTGCTTTCAAAAACTCCAAACTGGGATGTCAATCACGACAATTCTTTGTGAACTGGTTCCATACAGAGAAACCTGACCAGAGAGTAGGAATCTGACAGAGAGCACAGAGAGTAGGAATCTGACCAAGGCTTCAGGTTTCCATCAGTGTGCTTTTAAGAAAGTCTTTATCAATTTTCACGCCAGTATCGACGAAACCAACGACGTCTTACTAATACCATTGCCTGCTACTCCCTCCTTAGACTATCATTCTGCTGTTCATATAACATTTTTTCTGCTGGAGAGCATCTCCATGTGTATAGCCAGAAGATGATCACCCCGTTTATCGAGTGGCTCTATCGTCGAAATTTTCCTCTCAGAACACGATTGATGAAACGGCATACGATAAGAATGGCAATGATGCTCTCTTGACAATCTCCCCATTCAAAAGCTTTGATAGGTCCATTTCCGTTGCGACTCTGGATTAGAATACTCAGGATTACAATCGACTTGCAACTGACCACTTCAGTGGTCCTATCTCTGGAACAGTGGCCTTTCCACTCCCTCCGGATTGTCATGTTAGATTGATCCTGCTCCTCTGCATTGTTTAGAGGCCTACTGTATGGTCACTATTAGAATCACAAAGCTTTTTACGTCTTTCCATCGCAAGTGACATTGAGTGAGCCTTCACCGCCTCAAAGATATTAGGGTTCGGTAACAATGCAACAGACAAAAAACTCTCTTATTTCTTCTGATTAATGAAAAATGGGAGCCCATGAGTTGCCTGTCTTAGAGCCTTCCGATTTTGGCGCCCCGTAATTCTGGGACACCCTGTATAACGCACCAAGTGTGCCTGTAAGATTGTCGTTTGGCTTGAGTGTTATGTGTTTTTGTGCATGAGGTTGCGTGTCGATGTGTCTGAGTGTCGATGTGTATGTGCTGATAAGTGTGTGTGTGTTGATGTCTGTATCGATGTGCCTGTGAGTGGATGTGTGTGCGTTCACAAGTGTGTGTCGTGTCGTATGTGTGTCGATGCGTGTGTGTCCATGTGGGATGTCAATGTGTATCGATATGTACGCGGGTACCTATGTGTGTGTGAGTGTGTGCTGTTGTGTATGTGTTGTGTGCCGTTGTGTGCGTGTGTTGTGTGTCGTGTATGTGTGTCGACGTATGTAATAAACGGAAACAACGGTTGAAGTAGGGTTTTGGGGAGGGAGCACAACCGGAGGAATGAAGTTCCATAAATTTTTGTTTTATGAGGTTACTTCTCAAAGTCATTTTTCGGCGCCAGCAAGTATTCGATTGTCGAGAATAGAGAATTTCCAGGCCCACCACAAACTCGGTACTACGAGAGGAATTTCCAAAGGAGGGATTTACTAGGAAAGGAAGAACAATTGCAGAAGAGCAAAAAACAAAGAGATATATAGAATAGGAAAACGAGGAAAATGATAGCAAAGTAATCCGGGATAAATTTAAAAAGAACAGTTTGTAAAACGACACAAAAATAAATTCCAACACTAGATAGCGAATCAAAATTCCCTATTGAAAGCCGAAAGATGTAGAAAAAGACAACGAAGATGGTGAGACGGAGAGGAAACGTTAACGGCGGTGAACATCACAAGGAAAAGCTGGTAAAAAATCCTAATTATTTGAAACATTTGGAAATGAAGAAATTTTCGATGAAAAACTTTCAGTTCAATCAAAATAAGTAAGAAGGACGTTACCTTAGGTATCGGGCGACTGACGCAGAGTTGCACCGCATACGATGAAGTCTGAACATCGTAGAACCACTGAACCATCGTAGACGATGAAGCCTATCTGAAACTGCTATCATGAGTTGGGCTTAACAGCAAACGAATAGGTATAGGCACGAGTATTTTACCGTTGATCCCTGATTGGATCGCCTACCGACTGGATAGGCGAATGCAGACTCTATTGGCTGTAGAAGATGTCGCTAAAACCGACATGTCGGTGGCCTAAAGTAGGTTTTCTAACCCATGAGCAGTTAATCGCGTAAAAAGCAGAAAGTCTACTACTAGTATAATCAAGCCTCACCTCAGCTATTGAGCGACTGTTCCATGGCATTACATTTTTGCTACGCTGCTACTAGGCATTACATTGATTAGAATCCGAACGCATGCAACTTGGACATTGAAGCCTATCTGAATACATCGACATAAGCAAATAGATCAAGAAGAGATGCGTAATATGTAGCATATGATCAGTAAACGCACCCCTGATCCCTGTTCGGATCGTGCAAGATGGATAGGTGAAACCATGTCCCTGGACCGATGGGAACGTGATCTGAATCGAGTTCACTGACTCATGTAAATGCTTCATGTTTAAGAAAAAAGACTTCCATTCTTTACAGTAAGTGAAACTGACCCTACCTCAGCTAGTGGGCGATTACTCTTGAGCCACAATTGGGTCGATACCTCTACATGTTTCATGCAAGGGGCAGTCATTTGGATAGTGAAGCCGTATTCGTTGAAAGTTGATTTAACGATGACGGGTTGACGTGGACGACGAGTCCTATCTAAATTTGCTACCATAGGTAAATGGGCCCAACAGAGGACGACATATGTTAAGCACACCCACCCTTGATCCCCGATTGGATCGCGCATTAACCAGATAGGTGACGCCATGTCGCACCCGGTAGGACGGTGACCTAAATTGGGTTCATTAAATAATAATGGTGAAGTTGATCCAATCCCTTCTCCTGAGTAGGTTCATTAGAAGCGGTCAAGCGGGCAAGGAGTATGAACTTAATGGTTTTTTTTAAATAGCTCATAAGTTCGTCCGCAAACAACCATATAGCACTCGTGTTGTGCCGTTCGGACGACTCAAAGGCCGGCCTCGCCTGGGCGCGCGCGTAGTTCCGCCGGGAAGGCACCGTACGCCGCAGAGAGCTAGAGTTTGCCACGTGGCGGCGGACTCTAGCCGCTCTAGGCGTTTGCATCATTCATTCACCATCGTGTCAACGCCTCAGACAGCTGCTTTCCACTATTCCTGTGCCTTCAACGTCAGCAATACCGACGTAGCCCCCGATGGGCTCTCAGCACCACTCGTATGCCATCTCTAAAGTGGTGACAAGCTGCATGGATCGAAGCTGGATGGAACAACTGGAAGATGGTCCACTGCTATCAACGACCCGGATGCAGCGTAGCCCAAAAGGAGGTGGGAAGGCTTGGATGGGACCTGGATGAGCTTGAGATCGGATCGTACCCAGACCGTAGGTTATAGTGTAGTTTTAATAATGTGTATTTCTTTGCTTTCTTTTCATAATATTTTTCCATAGTAATTGCTCACAGTATTTTCATAGTCTCTTTTTCTATTTAACCGTATTCATAATCCATTTCGTATCGACGTAGTATGTCATAAAATGTATATCGCATACGTGTGGTAGCCTGCAAGGGAGACTGGGGCAGTCCTAGGCCTACCAAGTCCGTGTGGCAGTTGAACACGAGCATGGCGAGCGGGCAGAAGACCCTGGTCACCTAGCTCGCACCGCCGGGGACGCCCTGCCGAGCAACCACCGATGCGGACTGGCCTCGGCGGGACGCTCCCGACGGCGCGACAACTCGCATAAGGAAAGAAACGTTCGAATTTATAGCGGGCGACGAATTTCGTCAAAACACTTCGCCTAGAACTTCGGCGAGCGAGTTTACTTAAGTACAATCATACGCTGAGAAGAAGAGCACATTCGAATTTCTCCAACCCCTCTACTTTTTATCCGCTTCAACTTTTCACAGAAGATTTCATTTGCAATGTTTCGGCTACTAGTTAAGTGATTTGTGCCTTGTGATTGAGTAAGACTACTCGGGAAACCCACATCACTTCTGAAGTACCGAAATTTTCAAGCATAGCGGTTTGTTAAGATTATTATTATTTCTAACTACCTATCCTGACCATAAATATGCCTCATGGGACTGTGTCGACATGCCTTAGTGTTATTGTGAAGCCTTGTCCGAGGTCTTGCTGCCTTTGTCAGGGCTTGGAACCCAAAGAGAACTGAGAGCCCACATTAGGTTCGCCAGTCGATATAATAATAAAAGGCCTGATAGAACCTCGAAAATCTTACCATTCTAATTTGGCGGCGATCTGGGGAGGTCCCGTCGTTTGCTTAAACTAATCCAAACTACTGTGACTTTGGAAACGCAGAGCATTTTTGAGGCAAGAGTGCACTTGTTGATGAGGAAATTACTCCTACTGAAACGCAGCGCAGCAAAAACCTGAATGAAATCAAATGAGAAATTCAGTACCGTGAAATGCGCTAAATGAAACCAACCTCTGGTCCCATGAAAGACGGTGTTATGATGCATTCGGAAAAATCGACGGCTGCACTCCGCAAAAGTTGACAGCCAGGTGAAATGTGTCGTATGATTTATCGATACGGTTGGAAGCACTGCAAATGTGGAATCGAGGCTAGCTCTATTGGGCGTTGATGGCAAGAGTAAGTTCTGAGAGCCCACATAAGTCTCGCCAGCCGATATAGTAATAGAAGTTAGGCAAAAATGAATAGCTACCTTCCACAATGTGTTCAAAAAGTGAGGGTGAGCCNCCTCTTCCTTTGCGCCCACAGCTGTACGCTTTGATAAACGGTCCAGAGTTCCCTATCTGGAAGGAATGAAAGTCAGAGGCTGAGAACGACTTCCTTCACTTACAAAACTTCCTTTTGAAGAAGCTCATATCTCAACTTGAACTGTCATTTTACTCACATGGCACAGATGATTGTGCCACCCAAAGACATTTCTGTGAAGACTACACGAAAATTGTCCCACAAACATTCCATATTGTGAGCAAATGGGAGCGTCGGGCAAGAAATCGAAAATTGTGTTGCACGGTAAATCCGTTGGTTGTTCGACAGCACGTACGCAACAACACTGAAAATTTGAGTTCGGTTGGTGTACATGGAGTTGGCGGCCAATCATGGCAGGACCCAGCGCACTTCTTGCAGGCATAGCTCACGATTAAAACGGTTTCTGAGATTTCTCCCTTGGATGAACCTCAGGACTGCAAAAGAGACGCTGTTTGTTTATTTGTTTATTACGTGTCGAGCATGTGTGAGATTGGCAGGCCACATTGAGCAATAACTGTCGGGTCCGAAAACAGCTTAAATAGGGCACAATAAGGTCTCCACAATCGGTTCAATTGGTTCCTTACCAGTAGGCGGACGAGTTCTCACGGCGTAGTAGAGCATGTAGAGAGTTTATCATACGCACCGGAAAACAATGTTGCACGCAGGCAGCTTATTGAAGCCAGCTGAGCGCACTAGCGTATTCATTTGGACAAGTGTCCGAATAGCCCTTCCATGCAAACTTGTCGTCACATTCTCGTCCAATCTCTGATTTTATTGCCTTTTTGAAGCCTTATATTTCTCCGAATACGTCGATTTTCGTGTTTTCTTGCCTTTGTTGATTTGTCGACCTATTCTGGACTATCACTTCTATTGATGTATCACCTGTCCTCCGATTGCCCATCGATTTTCCTAGGAGAGTGTCAGTAGCGTCTCCATTCGTCCCTTTCGCGAGCCAGCCGTAAAAAGAACCGTAAAAAGCCGTAAAAAGAAAAAGTAGGAAAGTGGGCCTAAACGGATATTCTGCAATAGTGCGTCATCGCACAGAACCCTCTCATTTGAGCGTTATATTTTCCGAACATCATTCCACAACTACTCGGTTCGTGACACCCCGCAGAACGGTAATGGTAGGTTACGGTAGTGGCTGCCCACAAGCAATCGATTGTTGTAACTGGGAGTTTTTTGCGTTTCATCGTTGTGGTGATGGAAAATCGTCAGTTTCAACAAAAACGAGGAGTAATTAGGAATCCAAACAACCACTAATCACCCGGATGCCCTCATTGTTGTTCCTATTCCTTCCCGAGGTAAAGCAATGTCGATGTTACTGTACGTATATGGATACGTCTTGGTTTTTTCGTGTAGAATTGCACTGCCGTAAGCGTAGAAGTGGCTTCGAACCTTTATTAGTAGTACTTCCTTCTGTTGAAAAAAGGAATTAGAACGCTAAATAATGCACGGAGAACCGATGAAACTACTGTTTCCTTGCTATGAAGCCCTTGAAATAATTCTGACTCCTTTGGATAAATTAGTCCAAAATAGGGAAAAAATTTAGTCAGAGGGAGGAGCACCCTTTGTTGCTGACGTGTGTGAAAAACATGTAGATTGCTAACAGCAGCCAGATTAGGCGATAGTTGCCGATATCGTCGGGATCTCCTTCCTTACACAGCAACACAGTCTTGCTAGTTTTCCACGACGTGGCACTTGCATCTCGAAGGTGAAAAGCCCAGTTCTGTTCCGAAAGCTCCGAAGATAAGTGGTGGAGGACTATCCAGATATTTTGGTGCGATCCTATTAGGAACGGGCGGCGTGCGATTTTTCATTGACGTTGTGACATGTCGAATTTGGGGAGGGGAAACCGAAGGAGCGATATGTTCGTCTTGCCTCAGATGGTAGGTAGGCATATAGACGTAGCTGTCAAAAAGATCCGAACACAAGTCGTGGACGAACTTCTTCAACGCCCTTCGAGACGCAGTAAACCCTATTGTAGTGATTTCCATTAGTCTTCAAAAATTATCGTGAACTATGCCTTTGAGATGAATCGTTCCTCTATTTGCGGACTGAGCCAGAGGAGGATAGNGATAGCACTGGTACTCGCCAAGATTCGCTTTCAACCAGTTTCATTTGAATAAGAAAAATACATACAAATGTCCAGGCTGCGTTCATATTTCTTCCCGCACGATTACTAAAAATTTATCAAACACGGTAAAGCATTGGTCCCAAATCTTCAGATTCATCCAAAATTCAATGGAGTTGCCTAACGAGCGGGTCGAATTATGAAAGCAGCGCAAAAAATTGTAAATGTGGCTCAGCCAAAGATCCTCGTCTTATTCTTTGACGCATTGCTCCATTTGCTTATTGTTGGACCCCGATTCTGCGAAGAGGTCGACTCGAGACCTGCAGAGGGTTTTTATTGTGAGGCACTCTCCTCTACGAGAAATTAATGATAAATCAAATCATCGAAGGAAAATATCATGAAAATTTCATTGACTAATGAGAGGATAATCCTTTCTATATATAAACCACAAATGTCCGTTTTTCTGTATGTTTATATGTTTGTATGTCTGTTTCACTGTAACTATCTTATCACTATCATTGTATCTAGGGCGTCGAAACACGTGGAACAGCTCAGACAGGTTGGAACAAGTGGGGACCGGGTATGAACAAGTGGAAAATGAGCCAAACTCCTTGGGTACACGCGATCTAAGCTAGGCTCCGCCCACTAGGGGTGGGGCTTGCAAGAATAGTGTAGTTCGCGGTGAATCTGTAACTCCTTTGCTCCTGAGCGTAGAGTACTCAAATTTGGC